TCAAATCGCTTACTGAGAAGCGTATACCACCTACACGTAAGATGATACGCAGCTTTGCGTCATCTCTACTTAGTAGAGAGATTTCAGAAAGCTGGTGCGATTGCAGCTCCGTATCCTCGAGGGCCATGACTGCGGTGCATGATTCAGACGCCGGATTGATAACTCCAAAAAGTCGGGGATATCAGCCCGCATACGAGTACGATGCAGCCTCAACAATGAGGGCGAAAGTCTAGTGACACGTTGTTGTTACAGGGGCTTCTTCGCTCGAATAACCTACTAAATACGCGCAATATGGCAAAGGAAAATTTGTACAGACTAGGATCATTATGTGGTCGTTGAATGGCACAGTGCTGTTATCGTTATGGCAGTGCGCATGTTGTTGAAGTACTACCTAGTGAACATAACTGTGTGCCCGGCTTGAATAGCGCAAAGGTAGAGCAGGCATGGATCTGAGTTATACGCGCGTACTCTTCTTCGTTGCCTGACTTGACGCGTGAAGGGGGCCCTCAAGATGATGATGAGGCTTTCGCATCGAGAACTTGGTACTTCCATGGGTCTTCAACTATCGATAGCGTGCGTCTTGTTTGTTGTCGTCGTCGGAATGTGGTGTAGCAACATATCGATGTAGCTCGATGTTGGGTGGATAAACATGGTGTTTGGTCTGTGGATTCACTGCTGCAAATTGTGACTGTCACAACACCGGGTAGCTGCTCATGCAGCTAGGCCTCGGCTTCTATCGGCTTCAGATATGAGTCACTATGGGTCATATTGATGGAGAACTGCCTGTAAGTTAAACAGAAAACTTTGTCTCGTCTGGAAGTTTTCCCATGCCGGTGCAGCAGGCCCCGCATAGGAATCTCGGTTAGCTGAACGGAAGACGGAAGAGGCTTCAGCCGCTGCCAGGGTCCAGCAGCTCCTTCTGGCTATGGGTGTTTCTCGAAATACCTTGAGCCACCTGGATCTGGTTGGCTTGGTGGCCAAGAACATCAACTCCTATAGTAATTTGTTAGTAAATCGATGCAGCCACGCTTTCTAACACCCACAACGTATTTGAAGTTCATTGTTTGCTGCGATCGCCTCTACTGACTCGCGTTTTTGGTGTTGCAATTTTCTCGAGCCCATCTCATCGCGATGCCAGGCACCGGCCACCGCTTGCAGCCCGCTGTTCTCCAGGCTATCCTCGACCGAATTGCTGCCTGCGAAAGTGATCGAGCCATCTCTAGAGCTACAGGTGCGAGCCGTAACACAGTAGCAAAGCTGAGGTTGAGCTTAGAGTTTTGGGGCGTGCCTTATCCGCCGCGCTGCGTTCGACTTGGGCGGCCATCTATACTCCGGCAAGCTCAGCGCGAAGGCCTTCAGGCATACCTCAATGGCTCACCGGGCGCATACATGGATGAGATGAGGGACTTCTTGTACGACGAGTACGACGTTAGGATAAGCCTTGCGAGCGTTTACCGAGAGCTAAAGAAGATGAGATGGTCTCGCAAGCTTGCAACAAAGCGGGCAAAGGAGCAGAGTGAGCCACTCCGCCGCCTCTATCTTGCCAGGATGGCGCAACACTATAAGGCGGAGCAGATCGTTGCGTTGGACGAGAGCGCCTGCAATGAGCGTACGGGCGACCGCAAGTATGGCTGGTCTCCAATCGGGGAGCCGGTGGAGCTATCACACAGCTTCAGGCGATCAGAACGGTGGTCGCTGCTGCCAGCCATGACGATAGATGGCTACATAAGCTATAAGATCTTTCAAGGCGCGATTACATCTGAGATCCTAGAAGACTTCTTAGAGTTTCAAGTGCTGCCGTTCTGCAATCCTCACCCAGGGCCAGCCTCAGTAATCGTGCTTGATAACGCCTCCATCCATCGATCAGAGCGTGTACGGGTGCTTTGCCAAAGTGCTGGAGTACTCCTTGAGTATCTGCCGCCATACTCACCAGATTTCAACCCCATCGAGAAGAGCTTTAAGCAGCTCAAGGGGTGGATGAAAAGGAATTCAGCGCAAGCGGAGAACTTCATTGACTTTGGGGTCTTTCTTGAGTATGCAGCGCAGCTGGTGTGCTGTAATATTAACTGCAGAAGCTGGTTCCATAGGTGTGGCTATCCCTATTAATTGTGCTTTTAAATGGATGCCACAGTACGTTTCTATAGGTAGATGATACCATACAAATGCGAACGATTACACCTTAATGCGCAACCCACAAAAGCGATTTAATAATTCTAAAAAAATAAGAGCTATTTCTATACATATAGAACTATCTTAGGAAGTTAACCTGTTATAATCGCATAACGTTGTAGTGTTGTACATAGGGCTATCCAAATAGACTATTGTTGCAGCGCATTTGAAACGCCTGAAAAACCTCAACACTATAGCGGGCACGGGCCGCTGTCACCAAAAACGCTCAGGCCACTAAGCTTCAAGCATTCTCGCCATCATCCTCCACAACACTGCTAGACGGTTCAACCACCAATTTCTTGCGCGCAATCTCTTCTCTTTTCTTACAACGTTCGACTCGTCTCCAGTTACGATCTGTGAGACCCTGGTACCCAGCTTGCCATTCTTTTGCAGTGTTTTGTAGCGTGAAAAACCAGCCAGGAGGCTGCTTGAAATGCTGCGTCCACAACTTCAAGATATCACCAGATGGCTGCATCAAGAGGTTGATATCCATAGCTCCGTCAATAACAAGAGTCTTATAAAGCTCGTTAATGTCCTCTCCAACTGTAGGAAATTTTAACTTAAGGTAGTTAAAGAAATTACTAGTATGCTCGTTAATCTCCTGCTCATGATCATATCGGATAGGCGCCCACTGAGATGCACTAGATACCTCAGCTCTTGTTATCGTTGGTGCAGCTGCCTGCAAGTTAGACTCCTGTTGAGGTTGCCTGTTCATCCGCTCAAGCTGTCCAACGATGAGCAGTTTTGTTAAGCTTTTGATATCATCGTCGCCATCTCCAGCCGCCCGCAACTTGCGCGTTTTCTCATGCACCCGCAGGTCCTTTGCTCTCAAAATTGCAAGCCGTACATCATCAGATGGCTCATCGTACGTTGCCCTTCTCGCTGTAATTGCTCTTGCCCACATGGAGATAATGTTGCCGTTGACAAAGAGGTGATCTTCGAAGCGCGCTGGCTGCCTCGCTGTTGGCGCCATCCAGCAGCAATAAGGATAGTTCTCGCAATGGGTATCTGTACAGCGCCATCTATCCCGGATAGCAATAGCATGCCCGCTACCTGCTTGTTCAGCTGCTATTACACCAGCAAGCCCCTCCTCTTGAATCACCGTTGCGGTGCGTCGACGAGGACCGTCGACAACCGTTGGCAACGGCTGCTGCTCCCCTGGAATTTCAGCCAAGATGAGCTCGAAATCGACGTTTACTGGCTCGCTGACATAGTTATCAACCTCTACAACAAGGCGCTGAAAGCTATTCCACGTTGCATCAACACCTCGCCGCAATCGCTTTATCGCGCGCTCGCGTTTGGCCTGCTTAGCTGGGTAAACAACAGTGCAAACAGATGAGATCTTCGCTCTTTTTGGCCGTAATTCTGCAACAACGTCATCTACCCACTGCCATAGGTCGTCGAAATGCAGCGAGTACAGCCGTACGCCGTGCTCGCTATCGGCAGCTTCAGGAATAAAGTGTTTCTCCATATCACCACCAAGGCAAGCCCTCCACCTAACGCGCAGTACAGGATTAACCTCATCCTCTAGCGCTTGCGATGAGCGAGGCAGCCATGGAGTGCCTTCTTGACGTCGGTACGCTGGCTCTCCCTCATCCTCAACACTACCGGCAGCGCCCTTAGCAGCGATCTCATCCTCATCCTCAGGCAGCGGATCGCCATCTCCATCCTCGAAAGTATCCTCATCCTCGCCAACGATATCTTCAGCTTGCGCGGAGGCAGCTGTTTGGGTGGCTTGCAGCTCAGGCTCGGACAACGGGCTTTGACGGCGCGGCGGGGCAGTCGCTGGAGGCGACGGCAGCGCCTCACGGCGGACACGTTTAGGCGTTAAATGGGTAGGATTTTGTCTAGTTGCTGGCGCTCTACGCTTCTGGGAGGACGGGTTAACGCCTTGATCGAATGGCTGCTTCGGCTTACGCTGGCGCTTGGGCGGCATCCCAACAGCAGCTAGATTGAGCTCGCAACAAGCTCCACACAAACAAAACGCTATACACGAACGATTTAGAGTACAGGACTAGCTTCATGGGCTTCTGGAGGTGGGAAACGGCTGCTGCATTAATTTACTAACAAATTACTATGGGAGTTGATGTTCTTGGGCACCAAGCTAACCAGATCCAGGCGGCTCAAGGTATTTCGAAAACCACAATAACGACTTCGTTACACCAACATTTTCTTCGTGCACTGGGCGTACAGATACGACAGATGATTGCACTTATACCGCCGGAACGGACGCGTGTGATCTGCTGCCAGGGCTCCGCCCGTGCTTCTCGCCACGCTCTCGAACAGGGAAAAAACCTTCCAAGGCGTCTACACACGCGTCATGCTAGGATGAGTTGTGAATCGCTTTGGTCAGACTCCGAGTAATGCAAGAACAATAATTGGATAGTCTCACGCCGTCGAAGGGAATAATCGGACATGTGGGTTTTTTCCTTTGACCGGCGGTCTGAGGCCCAAGTTCACTTGGAGAGCGGGCTGAAGCCAAGGTGTCACCCCTGAGATGCAACGGTGAGACTTGGCCTGCTGATCGCCCAGCGCTTTGCCAATCAGACACTAGCGGTCAAATAACGGCTCTTCTGCTAGCAGCGCGGTCGCGGGAATTTCTAAGTATCCTGATTGCCGTATAGCCCGTATCAACCGTATAGGGTGGAGCGCACCAAGGATCCCGGTGTTTGTAGACCGGAGTAAGTATAAGTGATAAAAAAGGACAACCACATAGCGATTTTGTTTGCACCACACATCATCCACCTTTCTAACACCAACACACAGTGTCAGCAGCATCAGTAAGCTTGGCAATACTAAATCTAGTGTCAACACCACCGCTTACCTCGAAGATGGTCGGCAAATTCGAAAACATTAACACCTCCATCAAGTCTACTACACAGGAATCTACGATCATGGATAGCCAAACTATCGCGCAAGTGACGCACACGTTGCAGACTGTGGCTATAGCAACCCTCTTCCTCGCAATATGCGTATATGTTCCCAAGCTCAAGCTCAAGGCCCAGCTGGGAAGTCTGCCGGCCCTCAACAGCGGAGAGAGCGGAGAAAAACACCGAAAGACATACCTCACTTCTGCAAAGAAAATGTATGCAAATGGTTACGCCAAAGTAAGCTACTCATGACTGTATAGAAAGGCTCCTGCTTATAGCGCCGCTAGTTCAAAGACTCCGTTTACAGAATTGCAGGAGAGCAGGGTAAGTTGGCTCGTTCCAAGCATAAGGAACAAGCATCGCTCATACCTCTCTAGGCGAAGACAATATCGTTATACCCCCGAGCCTGCTCCCAGAGTTACGGAAACTCCCTGACGATGTTCTCAGCTTCCCCGTAGCCGTCAAGGATGTAAGCAGACGTTAGCCATTGACGTCAATGACAACAAAACTAATCACTTATAGCTCATGGAAGTCAAATATACCAAACTGCGTGTTGAAGGGGCTACCGGTCTCCATGCAGTCAAGTCTGACCTCACACCAGCACTCCGTAGGTTGGAACGAAGAACGCTGCTTACGAGGTAATGGAGCTGATACAATATTAGCTCGATTGAACCCAGTTATCGCCTCGGAAGTCGACGCCGCACTGCGAGAAGCTATGCCCCCATGCGAAGACTGGACTGAAGTCTCCATTTTCAAAGAACTCGTCGATGTTATTGCAAAAGTCTCCGGTCGCATCTTCGTTGGGCCAGAACTATGTCGCAACCCAGAGTATATCAAGCTTGGGTCCAACTATACAATCGATCTCGTGGGAGCGGTCACAGCTGTCAAGCAGGTCCGTTCATGGCTGAAGCCGTTCTTGTGTCATCGCCTCCCGGAGGTCGTTAAGCTCCGCAAGTGCGAACAACAATTAAAGGAGTTCCTGCGCCCGATCATAGAGGAGAGGATGAATGCCAAGTCGAAAGACCCGAATTGGCAAGAGCCAGACGACATGTTGCAGTGGATGATCACGCGGGGTAGAGGTAAAGATTCAATCAACGACATTACTGCCTTCCAACTAAGCCTCATCTTCGCCGCCATCCATACCACGAGTATGACCGTCACCAGCATCATGCACACGCTCGCCGTCACACCAGAGTACGTTGACCCTCTCCGTGAGGAGATCCGCAATGTCATGGCCAATAATGATGGAATCATCACTTCTCGTGCTCTGCAACAGATGGAGAAGGTTGATAGCTACATGAAGGAAGTATTACGCGTCTACCCAACGGCCATTAGTAAGTTGGATCCCGTCAATTTTGTGTGGTGCATATTACCGTGGAGGAACATGACAACTAACACTCCTTCCCCCTCTAGCGGCCTTCACCCGCCGCGTCCTCAAAGGCATCACCCTCAGCAACGGGCAATACATCCCCCCCGGCGTCACCATCGAGGTCCCCTCCGCAGCCGTTTACCTCGATGAAAAGAATTACCCCTCTGCGGACGAATTCGACGGTTTCCGCGCTTACAAGCTGCGCGCAAGCGGCAAAGCAGCGGATATCGCGCGCAACCAGTTCGTCACTGCCAACGAGACCAACCTCAACTTTGGCTACGGAGCCCATGCTTGCCCTGGCCGTTTCTTCGCTGCCAATGAGATCAAGATGGTCTTGGTGAGGCTGATACTGGAGTATGATGTTAAGATGCCGAATGGCGAAACGGAGCGGTATGCAACGATCGATGTTGGGACGCAGAGTATGCCGGATTCGACGAAGAGTTTGGCGTTCAAGAAGGTGCAGATTTGAGCTTGTGGTGATGATCAGAGTTGTCAACAATCAATCCGGATTGACGGATTGATTGGACTTGATTGAGACTTGGTACTTTAATCAAGTCAATCCGTCCACTAGTAATTTTGGCGTCAATTCAATCCGTAGGGCGAATATTGATTGGGATTGATTGACTTTTGCTGTTGTGGTGGGTGCCATTGCCCACCGGGCAGTGCCTGCCACACCAGCACATCACGTGACTCTCAATCACCTTCTACCCTGGACTGAACCAAGATATTCTCAACAGAGATATAATTATCTATCTAGCTCTGCATGAAGTACGAGTATGTCCTTCAATATGGCACTTCGTGCACGTTGGTGGCGCGCGCCGACGTCGCTCACCAGCCTGGCTCTGGCTAGCCTCCATCACCACTCTCTCTGCCTCTGCAGCTAACTGCTGAGCCTGCTGCACCTGGAGCACTCCACCAGAAGCAATATATTGACGCTGCTGACTCTGCTTTTGTTGTTGACGCTGATTTTCTGCACGTGGCCTCTTATTCTCCTCTGCAAGTATCGTTGCTGATTGCATCGCAAGCTGAGCGCTTTTAGCAAGCTGGCGTATCGCAACGCTTGTTGGGCTCTCTGGCTGCTGACGCAGCCGCTCTTGAAGATAGCGTACCTGCTGCTAAAGCTCTGCTACTGTATGTGGTGTCTCTGTCTGCGCTGCGCCTGCGCTGCTGCGTTATTATCTGTGGTTGTCTGCGGGGGAGACCAGACTCCGCAACAATCAAATCAATCAATCTTAAGGTTGTCGATTGGTTTGATTAGCTTGCGGCGACGCTGCTGATTGATTGCGGATTGATTGTTAGGGTTTTTGAGCAGATTGATTGCGATTGATTGGTTGATTGGCTGATTGATGCTAAGAAGTAGTATACAGGGGGTTATGGTGTTGTACTCCAGCCTTCTATATCGTACTGTTGTACAATCTCCTCATCTTTGACGTCACTCCACTTATCTTCATCATCACCGTTGTTGTACAAGCCGTCAAAGCCAGCTCGTCTCCACGAACGTACAAGCTGAAGGGCAGCAAGTAACTCGCTGCCAAGAGCTCGCCGGCGCGGCTCAAGTAAATCGCCAAGCTCGCTAAAGAGCCTCTCGCAGTCGCAACTAGATGCTGGTATCGTGAGTATATCAATCGCAAACTGGCTCAAACACGGGTATTTTGAGCGTAATTGAATCCAGTACTTGACTGGGTGGCCATCGCTAAGATACTGTTCGCTTGTCCACTCTGGCTCTTGAGTTCTCCAGCGCTCGTACTCATCGTCGTGGGCAGCCTCTACCTGAGCCTTGTTGCGCCGTACGAGGGCGCCAATCACATCATCTATTCCTCTATGCCTTGGTTTTGCAGTTGTTTGAGATAGAGGACGTGTACGTTGAGGCTTATACGACTGCCAGAGCTGCAGGAAGCCAGCGTTGGCTGATGTTAGCCATTCTGGCTTATCCACCCAGCTGTTCTCGCAGTAGTATTTGTAGTATGGATGGAGGCAGGTAGCAGCGTAGTATGCTGGCGATCGATCGAGCTTGTTGTAGTAATCGTTGGCCTTACTCCAGGCGGCGCGGAGGTTAACAAAGAGGTGATCTTCAGGCGCATCAGGTGGGTTGAAGTCAACTTGCTCGTACGAGCGCGTACGGGCTTCGAGCGCGCCAAGTACGTATTCAAATACAGGAATAGTCTCATATATAGCGCCGTATTTGCCTGCCTTTCCGCGACCCTCAAGCTTCTCCGTAGCAAGCTTAAGCGGCTCTAGGCAGTCCTGATACTCTGTTATCACCGCCCAATCAGCAGCTGTAAGTCCTGTTGATCTCATCCAACTAGGTGCTTCAGGGAGTTTATTGCCACGTTGACAAGCGCGGCGATCTTCAAGGGAGAGTGCGTTAATGTAGTGCTCAGCGTAAGAGTTGTATGCTGCCTGGAGTTGAGTTGCGCGTTTGAAGGCAGCGTAGTAAGAGTTCCAGCGTGTAACAACAGGCTTCACAGGCTCAAGTACGTGGAGGCGCTCTCTAGCTGGCAACTCGGCGTTGGCGGCGGTTTGGAAGCTTCGGAAAATTTCGTGTTGTTGAGGCGTTTTTATATGGTTGATAACGTCGATAAGTACACCTAAGGGCCCTTCTTGACGCCACTCCTGCATGTACACCTCCTCTGTTTGGAGCTGCTCGTCGTTGTTGTTGTTGTACGCCTCTTGATTGCTGCCAAAGATAATTGCCTGGCCAATAAGGTTAAGCGTGTGAGGGCCGCAGCGGAGGCGTCGGTGAGCAGCGTTGAAGTCGTACGCGTGGGCGAGCGAGGAGACTGCAGTATCGTTGTTTGCAGCATTGTCGAGGACGAAGTAGCCGAGTTTATCACTCCCAATACTGTATTCTTGGAGCGTCTTTTTAATTGTATCAGCGATAGCATCACCAGTATGAGAGCCTGCGAGATGTGGGAGGGCGATGGGGAGATCTTGTATCACTCCAGAGGCGTTAGCAAAGTGTGCAACGACTCCAAAGAATCCACGCTTGCCACCCTTTGTCGTCCAACCATCAAAGCTTATGTGGATCTTGCTTGCAGCTTCTGACAGAGCGCAGACAATCTGTGGCTGCATATATTGGAAGAGGCGCATTGCGTAGGTAGCTACACTGCGAGGACTTACCCACAAAGCTGCCTCTGCCTCTGGGTTTGCAAGGCTAATCATCTCGCGAAAGGACGGCCTTGCAAGTAGCTCCATTGGCAAGTTGTTATCAAGAAGGCAGAACACTGCAACTTCACGAAACTGCTGGATGTTGAAGTTGCCCATCGCGTTGGCAGCCTCTTGAGAGACTGCAACACCAGTCTCCAGCGTCTGTCGTAGAGAGAGTTGCTGCCCTGTTCTTCGAGGCTTCAGGCCGTCTTTTGTAAAGCCATGGCCTCGTTTCTGAAGGCCAAGATGAGCTGCAGCTGAGGAGGTGGCCTTTGATACGTCAAAAACTCCACTGCCGCCAGTGTCAATGACCTTGTGGATGTGGCAGTATTTGCATACAAACCACACTCGATTCTGATCGTAGAGCTCAACAACGCGATATCCATGTTGAAAGATCCAACTCTTGACGCGCCGCCCAGTTGTAAGAGGCTTCATGAACCGAGGGAGGCGATCCCAGTTAATGCCGTCAAAGTTGTCGCCATTATCAGGCTCTGTATCAACACTAGCCTCTGTTGTTGCTGCTGTACCAGCCTGGCTGCCCTCAGCCGCACCCTCCTCCTCTGTTTGCGACTCGAAAAATTGCGACTCAAACGTTGTGGCCTGGCTTACGGCGGCGCCAAGGGTTTCCTGAGGCGACAGCGATCGCTGAGATAGGACAGAGGGCCTTGATAGGCGCGCCCGTTTGGCGGCGGCGGCGGCGGCAGCAGTATTGGTGGGAACTCGAGAGCGTTTGGCCATCGTGGGCGATACTAAACACTAAAGAAAAATGTCTGTATAGGTAGCTAGGCAACTAGTGTTGTGTGTAAGGGATTATTAGGGAACTGAGTGAGCGAAATCGTTGTTGTATTAAGAACAGCGAAGGACTAGCTATATAGGTGCGGGGTGAAGCCTAGAAGAGGCTAGCCCCTAAGCAGAAGGAGCTAGTCCTATAAGAGGAGAGCTAGCTGGTGAGAAGTGAATGCATAGAGACTGGCTTGCCCGGCCGACAGGGATCACAAGCTAAGCGAGATAGGGGTCCAAGATAACTATCTTCAACACCAAAAACCTTCTCTTAATACGACACTACTCGCCTTACAACTCGTTAATAATAAATCAATCTAACTAATCAAATCAATCAATCTGACCTTCGCAAGTTGATTTGATTAGCTATTTTGAAAAGCTTAGATTGAGTTGATTGAGTTGGTAAAAACTCCAAATGACCAATCAAATCAATCAATCTGACCAATCTGGATTGATTGTTGCGGAGTCTGGGGGAGACGGTGTTCTGGCTACTGTGAGCGACGATAGGACGCGATCTGGACGGGGAGGGACAAGGCCTGTGGCCTAGAAGCCTGCCTGGATATTCTGCTGCGTAAAAACTATCGGCCGGATCCGTGTATAGGCTGTGAGGAAGTCTATCTTGTCAATATGGTAGACGCCTTGGCGAGCGAGCTCCTCAACCTCACGTCCGTACGCGCGCTTAAGAGGAGAGTAGCAGCTCACATCTAGAGGCTGGAGGAGATAAGAGGTATAAGGTGGCATGTAGAGGGTAATAATCCTGTTCTCTGCGCAATACTAGTCGAACTCTAGCGTAGCGTGGCTACTATGGCCGTCAAGGATAAGAAGCCGATAGACTCTAGCTGTACGAGACGCTGTATACTAGTTGAAGTGCTTTACCTACTTAAAACTAAGCTCATCTGTCGTCTAGCTATTGTCGGAGACGCCAATAATCTAGTCTAGTGGGAGCCTATTATACCAGCTGGCCTGGTGGACCTTACTAGACAGGATCACGAACGGTGGTAGAGACCAGCCAGACGCATTAATGCACTCTATCGCTGTTACCTACTCGCGATTGCCTAGCTGTACGACAACTGCTCTGCTAACTCTGTTAGAGCTAGTCACAACTTTTGACGTTGCAGCGACGCCCATAGCGAAGCCAGTCTCATCAAAGTTGTAGATGTCCTGGTCTAGCACGCCGTACGTCTGGCGCGTCTCCTCTACTAGCTTAAACCACGCTACAATGGCGATAGGATCCTTAGAGTTAGCGCGCTGGCTATTAAGCCTTTTACTCCACTTTGTCCGAAGCTCTGGCTGGCTCTGGATAAAGCGCGACATCCAGTTCTTGCCAACAGGTTGCGGAGGTGGATCTTGGCCACGCGCAGCGAGTAGAGTGTCTGCCATCCGTCGCACGTCGATAATATGGGGCGGAAATCCTCGTCAATTAAGGTCTAGGATCCACTGCACGAGAGACTGCTCCTCGATAGGTGATAGCTTACGCCTAGTAGATAGAATCTCTGATCGTGGCTGGACACCGTGGAGGCGCGTCTCGAGAGTTGATTTTGG